GTAGTACATGGATTCTACGATGACATTCCAAATCCCCTGCGTCGACGACATTTTCCTTCTCCGCCTTAACCGGGTCTACTTTGTAAACGTGAGGAATTTGCGAAATGGAAGAAGTTGTTCAGACCAGAGGGGTTTCTATGCGAATCGCCTGGGCCCGCCCATTAGGCAGCGTTCAGACTTCACGACGGCAGTGCTTCGGTCGCGCGTCCGACGCAGTCGAAGGAATGCGCATCGATCGCGTCGGAGGCGCGAGAGAAGCGCTGCCGTCTGAGAGCGCGTTCAGACTTCGCGATCGCGCGACTGGGATCGTCCGTTGGGATGGGTGAAATTCAAACAGAACGGTAACTTCAGTAGGCGAACAAACAATTTTCGATCAAATAAGGATCTGTTTAGTTACAGAGACGGCACGACTGTATCGGAATGGGAAACAGAATGCCTAGAGTCGTTCAGATTTCACCTACAATTTTACTCTTGGAGGGCTTGGATTTCGTTCTCGTACTACATTTTGTTCAAAAAAAATTATGCTTGTCATCATTCCTCGTATCGCACGAAACCAAAGGAAGCAAAAAGACAGTGGTAAACACACGACAAGGAGGCTATACTGCCATCAGAACCATACATAAGGAAGTGGATAAGGCGCCAACGTAGTTGGGAGGGGCCACGCGGCTCGCGGCGAGCGATGACTCATCTGCTCTTCTGCTCCCTCCTCGGCAAAATAGAAGTAATTTCGTGTTTAGGACATGAATATAACTTCGCCCTAGCTATATTCAAACAGTTAACACTGAAAAGTGCAAAGAAACAGTTTTAGGCTGCAAGGTTCTTGCCTAAACTACAAAATTTTGTTGCATGTTTGTCGTTGACTGTTATTGTTGACTACAAAAAATCAAATTTTTAGCTTCTGTGGAATTCTTCAGCAAGTTCCCGGTGAATCTTGTTTGTTTTATTCTGATTTGGCTGCTAGATTCGCGTTTCAAGTATGCCGATGAGTGAAGAGCCGATGAGTCATCACTCGCCGCGAGCCGCGTGGCCCCTCCCAACTACGTTAGCACCGGAAAGAAAGAAGGAAAAGAAAAGAAAGAACAGAAACATTAAAGATTATAGATTAGAAGATTTACCAGATTTTATTTCGGGACAACTGGCCTGACGAAGGTGCTACGCACCGAAATATTGCAAGTTAAGATATATAATAACCAGTCGGATCGCCCGGCTGACGCCGAGCTCTCCTCCTTCTTTTCAGCTCGGCTTCGCCGAGCTGGCCTGGCTTCGCCAGGCGCACGGAAAGGAATTTGTTAATTGCCTGAGCTGCTCACATTGCGCGCTAGTGGTCGAATCATAATAGACAGAGTAACCTAGCGAAATCTGCACCCCTCCTAAAGGCCTGCTGGTTTCGGCCATAACGCCCATTCTATACGTAGATCTTAGAAGTATAAAGGAAGTGAATATCAATATGTGTTGCACAGTAAACGAACAAATCCCGTTT